ATACTTTCAAATGGGATTATACCTAGCCCAAGTCCTCTCAGTTCAGAATATGCTGGGCCAGAAGTTGAACATCCTGCATTAGATCCAGCCTGTTTGAGTTGTAAGATATGCTGTAAGGTTTATCTGCTCACTCAGTTCCTTGAGCAGTGCCCATTGCCTATGGCGGGTTGTTCTCGTTTGCTTGGGGAGGAGCTGTGAGTTTGCAGAGAGAGGCTCTGTGGTCTGACAGAGTGAATTATTGTTGAATTAATAAATGAGGGCTGAAAAACTCATGATTATAATGTTTTCTCCTCCCTTACTGTTTCCAAGATGTCTGCTGTCAGGGATTTATTAGCAGGTATATTTTTAAAATGTCTTCAGGTCAGAGGAAAAAAGAGGGGCTTCTGGAAGAACCATCTGTGAGGTATAAATCCAGCCTTCGATGTCAAATGTAAAAATGAGATATATCATCTACAGTTGAGGGATGCTTAATATTGGTATCTCAGTTTGAAGCTTTAATTTGGTTTAAGTCTGTTTACCAGTCTTGTAATAGGATATATTATTTTGAAGTTTAGGTTTTTTGGTGTTTTTTTATTTCACTTTGAAAACCACTGAATTCGGCAAGTTCCAGTGTGATCTGTACAGTGATGTGTCTGAAATTAGAATTTCCTTTTATCTTTTCTTCCTTCCCATCTAAACATAACTGTTGAAATTAAGTGCTTCTACATCCTCTTGCGGTATTGTTCTCCACTGAGTAAGGACAATTTTAGCAGCAGAGTGACGTGACCCATTAGATTCTTCTCTGCTTTTATTAATCTGTTTGTAAAGGTTCATATTATTTTGAGTGCTGTTGGCTTTGCTTTTACTTACTTAAATCACGTTGGTCTACCATTCCCTTAGAAGAAGTTAGAAAGCTGACTTTGTTCAGTCACTTATATTGTTCCAAACCCATCTGTGTTGTTGAGACCTAGCTCTGTTGCAGTGTGGTCCACAGGGTCCTTGTTAGGCAGAGGAATGTGTTGATTTAGTGTACATCAGCGCAAATTGCACTCGAGGAGTCCAGACTTCTACGGTACGTGAACCATGAATTTTTTCCATGGCTGTGCCTTCACCCTGTGTTCTTGTGCCAGACTTCAGAGCACAGGGCAGCCGTAAGCCTACCCCAGCTCCCTCTTGTGCCTCTCACAAGATTGTCTCCTGGCTCTTTATGAACTTCATCAGTATTTGGCTGAGTTTAAGATCTGGGTTTTGATGTTTTTCTCTAGTTTAATTCCTTGTTTCTCTGATATCTGGATATTGTAACAAAAAAAAAGAAAGAATAAAGGTAAGAGCTTGTTGGGGAGGACGAACAGGTCATGGGAGAACAGAGTTCTTGACATCAGAACTAGAAGATGAAGATGCGTAGCCATTTGCTATATGTGAAAGACTGAGTTCTTTGGTTAAAGTCTTGCTGCTCTTGGCAGCCACTTACTGTGAGATCCACACTGACACATACTTTTAGCGGCAAAGCTTTAAAAAAAGAGAAGAAAGAGAGCACTTACTTTCCTGATTATCAACTGACTTTTTCAGATGCTGAAACCACAACCTTCTCCCCACTCTTGTCTGTCGGGGTCTTCATCTTGAAGGATGATTCAAATTTACAGTTTTCAAATAGCAAGGGGGAGCTGAGGGACGGTTGCCTGTAACAGGATTCAGGAGACACGAGCCCCCTGGAGACACTTGCTGTTCAAAGCATTCTTTAATCTGAAATGCATGGGATTCATCCATGCCAAGGGCGAGGGCTGCGCTGCTGGCATCCTTTCAGAATAGTTCCGTTACTGTGGTATAGTGGCTGTTCTTCACTGTTGATTAGCTGTGCATTGTGCTTGGCTTCCTGTCTAATCATGAGATTATACAGTGTATAGATTATCTAGCGAATGGAGGAACAACTTATGTGCTTGGGAATGGATACTCGAGAATGATCCTCCTTGGGCCCAGGTGGTGTTTGCCTCCTAGAGCCCAGCCTGACTTCTCTTCTGTATCCCAAAAAAGAGGTGCTAAGCCTGTTTACAGTAACCAGAGACTTCCCTGAGTATGCAGCACTCAGCTTCTTTAGTACAGTATTATATCTACATCGCCTCTGTACTAATTCACTGAATATATTATTTAGCAAAGCTGTTTTTCAGGATGCAGATACTCTCAGAATAGGAAAAAAAAAGAACCATAATTATTTAAGAGGGCGTACACACTGAAGCGTAAAAATGTGCTGAATCTCATGTTTCTCTTACGTGCTGCTCTGCATCTACCTGACCTAAGTCAACTTTTAACCAGCTTTTACATAAAATGTTATTATACTGTGTTCAGGACAAGTGAGCAGGTGAAACATCCTAGCTGGGTCCATAAAGAGAGATCCAAACCCTTTCTCCAGAAGGCAGTAAACTAACAGTTAAACATCGCTTTCATCGCCTGAAATCTGAGTTGTGACGTGGTGGTTCTCACATGCCCAGTCGTTTGGCAATGTTACCAAATGTTTATTTGACAGTGTTCCCTGCTCTCAGAAACAGCGAAAGAGGCTTATTTTTCCCTTGTTGGTGTTTTTTTTTCAATGATAACGTTCATTGTCTTTATCAGACTCTTGTTTCTTCAGAGACATCAGAAGGGGTATGGTGGGTTGACCCCAGCCAGCAGCTAAGCTCCACCCAGCCACTTGCTCCCCCCCAGGGGAGGGAACATGGGGACTAAAAGCAAGAAAACTCACAGATGAAGACAGTTTAATGAGTGAATGAAACAGAAAAAAAAAAAAAGCAATGCAAAGGCAATCATCCACCACTTACCACAAGTAGACCAATGCCCAGCCAGTCTCCAAGCAACGTCTGCCTCCCAGACCAACACCCCCAAGGCCAGCCTTCTTCATTGCTGAGCGGGAGGTGATGTGGCACACAACATCCCTTTGCTCAGCTGGGGTCAGCCATCCCGGCTGTGTCCCCTCCCGGCTTCTTGCCCACCCCTGACTACGTGCTGGGGGATGGGGAAGAAAAAGAGAAAAGAGAAAGCCTTGATGCTGTGCAGGTACTGCTCAGCAATAGCCACAGCACTGGGGCGGGGGGGTTACCACTGCTGTTTTAGTCACAAATCCAAAACGCAGCACCCTGCAGGCTGCTGGGAAGAGAACGGACTCCATCCCAGCCAGACCAAGTACCGAGCGGGGCTGGAAAGCCAACTGCTAATGCTCTTGGATAAATTTAAATTTTTGTGTTCAGGAAAATAAATCTGTGAAGCCTGAGAAATTCTTGTTTACTTGAACCGGCGCCACACAAAATTCGTGCCGTTTCTGAGCAGCAGTGTGTGAACTGGAGAAGAGCTTTCCCCTTCCCCATCAGTACTGATTCGTTTCTCAGACTGATTGTGCTTACAGGCAGAAACCCTTCACACGCACGTGTGTTGGCTGGTTGTTTAAGGTCGATGTTCCTGTCGCTAAACTTCAGCTGTTGGGATGCAGCCTCTGAGTCGGAGCCCTAAGTTTTGGTGTACGCGTGTGAGCTCGGTGTCTGGGCTCCCACGGGTCCCAGCGGAGGTCTGTCCAGGGAGTTCGGGGTGCGATTCGGCTAACCAAATGTAGGTGTCTGCTCTCAGGGTGAAGAGCTCGCTCTCTCAGGGTGAGAGCCGCTCTCAAGGCTTCGCTCACTTTAGCGGCTTCGTCTCCACCGACTGCAGTGCGAGTGTAGGCACTGGCATCGTCGGTTTCTAACATCAGATGCCCAAATCTGAACCCAGACATCATGCCCAGCCCTGGGGGCTGAAGTCAGTAGGCTGCATCTGGAGCTGTTTGAGATGATACCCCAAGGTATTTTGGCTTGCCTTCAGCGGCCAGGCCAGAGGGGCCTGGCTCTTCCATAGGTTGTGCATGGTATCTGCCAACCGCGCGGGTGTCTTACATCCCCACGAGTGTCTGAAGTGGCACTTAGTGTCTGGGCAGCTGAACTCGCCCCCCCGTGGAGCTGCAAATACCCACAAGTGTAATAGCGCAGGTTCTCTCTGTAGTAAGTATAAAGAAATAAGTCCTTTTCTTTCAAATTAATTTAGATTTCTGTGGCCTGCAAGTACCTGTTTCTCTGCATCGAACATGACAGTTGACTAGAGGTAGAGGTCATCAAAACTGAGACAGCTGAAGTGAGGTGAACACTTCTTCAAAGTCACATGCCACTCTACAAAGGGTCCAGTAATTCCTCTGTGTGTTTCTTTGGTCTTTTTAAACCTGCTGTCTTAGAGTATCACATATATTTATACATTATTTAACAGCTGGAATACATATTCCCTTTTTATTTGTAAGGCACGTTGACATACTTGTCTGTTGCGCAGCAACATGTTGTACGTAACTGCTTTTCATGACAACTGCTTTTTATGATTTCCGAGTAGGAGTGCTGGCTCCTGTATTTTCCAGATTAAGGTTGAGTTGAGGCCCTTATTTACAGACAGCAAAGGGAAAAGGGAAGAGGAAACTGTAGACTAATATTCAAAACTCTTTTATGCTGAGTGTACAGAAGGCTTAGTTATGAATGCCTTTACATTTACTAATGTATTATGTATTATTTATTATTTTATCATCTTTATAAAATACCTGCTTTCTTGCACACCAAGGGATAGAAAAACTGTGTCAACCTACTGGGTCCTTTATGCTTCCAATTTATGTGATCTGGTGGAAGGCCGTACCAGTGGAACTGTTGAAGCAAGTGTCAGATACAGGCTTACTCTAAGGGAAATGGTTTGTGGCAGGTTGCTGTCTGGAGCAATTTCATTTGAGATAATGGTTCTAGGGGCTACAGAGCTGACTCCCTGGATGACGTGTGTGGGAATGCTCATCAGTGTGCAGTTTTTTAAATATTTCATACTGTTTATGAAGGTCTAAAATACAAAAAGAAAGGTGGCAAGAAAATAAAGCAGCACAAAGAGACACTTGTGGAACATTTTATGAAGATTTTCATCCTTGGATAAGCAGTTGTTATAAAGTGACAATTTATCACATTGAATGTTCTTCCTTTCAGCCAAGGAGTATTGCAAAGTGATATTTCCGTATGAAGCACAGAATGATGATGAACTCACAATCCGAGAAGGTGATGTCGTCACGCTTATCAGTAAGGTAAAAGCAATGTTTTTCTCCTATAAGCAGGGATCCAGATATTTAAATTGGCATAATTCAATTGCCATAAAAATCCCTATTTGTGTCTTGGACAGTGTCCTTCCTAAGACAGTGCCGGTTTGACAATGAAATGTTACGTAGACTTCAGAGAGCCCTACATCTCCCTTCCTTTTGTGCTTTAGAGCCTTACCTTGATAATGTTAAGTGAAGAACAGCAGACCTGTACTCTTGAGTTTACAAGTTTATTCAATTAATCTTAATTTGAATCTGCTGGCAGATCTACAGAAATTGTAAATTGATCCCTGTAACAAACATGAAAGCCTAGAGAATAAACTGGAAGACTCAAGAAAGCGGCAGCTTTGAACATCTCTGTTAGGTGTATGAGTTATCTTTCTTGCAGGAATTGTGAATTAGATTTTTGGGGGTTAGATGGAGATAATGTGCCTAAATTAGCTTAATGAACTAAACACTTATTTAAATGTAGCCACCCTTAACACTATGGTAAAGCAGAAAAAGATGATAAAGAAGAAATTAAATCATTTTAGATCTGTATTCTTTTCTTTAAAATTACTTGAAATGATTCAAGATTAGCAATTAAAAAACAGTGCCAGGATTTATACTAAATCTCCAAAAGCTATACAGTAAGATGGGGAGTAAACAGTTGGTTTTCTTATAGAAGAGCTGTGCACCATGTTACAGAGGATGGATTATAGTTTAGGTGCACTTAATTTCCTGCTCTTGGTTAAAGACTTTACAGTTTGTTTAAATGTTTTTGACTGCTGGACGTAAGTATTTGGGAAAAAAAGCTGCGAAGTTGAAAAGCCTGTGGATTTTGCATGATGAAGATTAATTGTGATGAAGTGCACAATAGTGCTGTTGTTGTTTGTGCTTATGTGAAAGTAAATGAATGAATTCTATAATTGATAAGTTTTGTAAGAAATTGTTACTTGACTGAGCAATTTGGCACCTGGGCAGAAAAAACCCCAAACCTTAGGAAGTACATCTGGGGCAGTGTTTGCTATATACAAAGCCATCTGCAGTCCTAGAGGACATCATCTTTGTCCTGAAGTATATACATGTAACTGAGGCAAAATAATCAGACATTTGGTAGGAAGAGAAACTGCAAATTCAAAAACTAAATTATGTATATTAAATATTCTTTAATGACTTGCCGTCAATGACTTTTTTGTGTAGCTTGTCCTGAAAACTGCTTGGCTTTGCCTGATTTAGAAAGTTCTTGTGTGGGTATTTTACAGTGCCTCTGATCATGGAAATGGCTTTTAAGACGTTGTTCCTGTCCACTTTACGCTTTATTGAGCAGGTTGATTTAACTCTCTGAGATGGCTGGTCTCCAGGTGGAGCTGTGTTCTTCAGTATACATAGATAAAGAGAAAATTACTTTACAGAGGTTTCAGTACAAGACTTCATTTACTTGCTTTTTCCCATTTTCTTCTTCCTGCTTCCTCTGCCTCCACAATGGAAGGATATTTCTCTTTTATAATAACTGATGATCTGACTGAATTGATCAGTTTTCCCAACCATGCAGTGAGAAGTTTGTCAGTCTGTTTGCTAGTATGTCCCCTGTCCATCTACTCTCCAGCCTGATGGTATCAAGCCACTGCAGGCATTTTGTTCAATTTTCTTCTTTTTTCTGTGGTATATGACATGTCTATGAACAGTTACATAAAACCATGCCTCTAGAGAGTGGGGGATCTCAATGCAAAAAGGCTTGGCATTTCTCTGTGGATGTTTTTTTATACTGTGCCTGAACTAATCTGAGATACTGAAGACACAGTGCTTAACAAGCAGTCACTTTGCAGATCCTTTTGTGGTTTGCAGACATCATTGCAGTCTGACTTGCGGGGTTTTTTCATCTGTTTTTAACACATATAGTTTCAAAAATAAAATTCAAGTGATGTGGAGTCAGGGTCCCTGCTGTAGAGTTCTGAAAACAGTGGGGCCTCCTCCATGCTCTACTATGGGATGTAGTAACTTTATTTTAGTCCAAAACTTCTGAAGCAGGTGTCTGTTGTCATTTTTCTTCTGTCAGCAATAACAAAGTCAGACTCACCTTTCTGCCCACTAACGGCTTCTGCTAGAGAGTTGTCTTTTACCTGGAATTCAAATCACTGGGCTTAGAGAGTCCTTTCCATAACCAGTTAGTGATCCGTACTGACTAAGAGGAATTAAATAGAAATATACAGAGTATTTCAGAAACGATTACCATGGTTTTGCTTTGCTATCAGATTACAGAGCTTCTTTTAATCTATTTGCAAGAAATTGTTTTGCAAGGTTTGCTTTCTATGCTGGAGCATTAGACAAAATTTATTCTTGCCAATTATCTAGGCGGAGGGAGAGAAGATTGTTACTTCTAAAGAAAGAGATGGGTGTCGTACTACTTCCTACAACCACAGATGCATTATCATAAAATAATGTGTTTTGCTGAAATCACTAAAACCAGAAGTGATATGAATTCTCCATATGAAAAGCCCCTCACTAGGCTAATCTATTTTCACACAGTCAGATCTATGGGAATGTTGAAGACCCACAATTTTAACTCATACTGCATTTGCATTTAATTGAAAACAAAAGCATTTGGGAGAATGTTTGGAAGTGGCTGAAGTAATGAGTGAGTGACAGAGGAATGGGAGAGAAATCTCATGAAAATAACGTAAAATGCATTAAAAGAATCTTAAAAAGCATGAAGATGAGATAGCACTTGATAGGTGCTAAGAGGAAGGGGAATGACTTAAATGAGCTAAATGGTAAGTTACTAGGAGAGCCTGTTTATTTGTGCATGCACATGTGAGAGTACATGTGTGAGGAAGCTGTTAGTCTGGTATTCATCTTAAAACGCTAAAACTTTATTTTTTGGAAAGAATTACAAAAAAGTAGTATCAGTAAAGGCAGAATTCAAAATCACCATTTTGACAATGCCCCTGCAGATAAAAGGGATAAGATTATATGAGATTTCTCTCTTTTTTTCAGCTAAATTAATTATAAAAATCCCTTTGTCAAGGTCATCAAATATCTACCTCATACAAAGAACAAACCAATTTTTTTTTTTATCATGGCCTTTGCAGAATCTGTTTCAAGTTCTTCCTGTTTTGATGGATGTTGAGATATTGAATCAAAAGCTGGTCAGACCTTTTCTATAGGCCTCTATGATAAGGGAATTGGAATATCTGAATTTTTTTATGAAATAGCCAAGAATACTTTGAACGGATTTGCTCAATCACAAGTGACTTCCCTAATCACTTGGAGAATGTGCTGATAAGTTTTATTTAAACACTGAAGTGAGTCAGTAGAGGCTGATCATTTAGTGGTCAGAATGGTATGTAATTTGGGAGATATAAGGGAAGGATGGCATTATGCAAGAATGATAGCCAAAAATAATTGCTGATTAAACAGCATATTGAGTCATTTTTTGATGAACTGCATAGGCCTAAATCATGGAAAAGATACACGATGAGACAGAGTCCAAACATATGGTAATAACAGTTGTTTTCTCATAGGTTAAAATTTACCTTAAACACTAGAAGAAAAGCAGAAACTAACTTCACATAAATGAATTCCAAACATTTCTGGAAAAGGCTTTTCTCTCCTCCTTTTCCCCAGTGAAGCAAATACTCTTGTAGATACATAGAAAAGGTCTTATTAATTACAGGAAATTAAAGTGAACAAATGGTAGTCCTTTAATCCCTTCATGCAAAATATTTGAAGATAGAAGACCAGAAAATATTGGTCAGAATTGTAAAGGCAGGTAAAAACTTCATTTTTAAGGCAATAAAACAGTAGACCTGGTACCTTTGCTTTGCAAAAAGGAGACTAAGAAAAATACACCTTTGGAAGAAAGAAAACAAAAGCAAAATACAGTAATTTTACTTGTACAGTTAAGGTGATAGTTGTGCAATTTGATGATAAGATACATTCATAAGCTGAAAAGATATGAGTGACAAGAGGCCATGAGATTTACCCTGTAGGTTATTCTCTGTAATGTCAAACATTTGTGTTCCTTAGGTAATTTTTTTAGTGTCTTCAAAATGTTCCTGACAGCATTTGGATAAGGACAAGAACACTGGTAGTGCCTGCACTGTGCGGCTGAAGGAGAGTGGCAAACAGGTGTTTTATCATGCTCAAATACTGATTTTGGAGACTCTATTTGCAATCGAGTTGCTTTTAAGCAACAGAAGATTCATGTGACATTTTCAACTGTCATCTTGAAAATCTTTTAGGATTTTTCATTCCAGCACTTTTAGACATAGCTACCGTAGGCTACTTTCCAGTGTTAATAAAGACTGTTTATGCAAACACTACAAGTTTTTTAGTAGCTCTTCTAAATTCTGACAAAATGCATAGGATTCTGGAGAGGTCACTGGCATACAGAAAATGACCTGTGTGAGGAATCAATAGTAATAGCTAAATAATTTCAAAGCAAATACATCAAGAACACACTGGCAGCTGCGCACTCATTTGAAAGCAGTTTTACTTGCCTGTGAAAGATTTCATTGCACTGCATCAATCTACCTCAGCTCTAGGCAGTAAAGACCACTTTGTTCCCAGGAATGAAAATGGTCTGGATAAATAAAATTAACTACTTCAAAAATCATTGCAAATTTGAAAAGCTGACAGTAATAGAAGGGTATCCTCACCTGAACCCTTATTATCAGAGTAGGAGTAGTGGAGGGCAATAGCAGTGGCAATTCTGCCAATTCTGAATGTACAAGATGTTGAAATGAATAGGTGTTAATATATCGGTTGGAATAATAATCTTGTGCCGTGCTCTGCATATCCCACCTGGCTTTCCCTCAGCCTCCACCAACCTGGATTGCAAAGCCTTTCTTCTCCTGCTGCAGGCTAATGCCTGAATACATGGCATTAGTGGTAGGAACGTGTTGCACTGAAGTGATGGATGAATGTAAAAGGGGGTCCTTTCTGATTTTGCAAAAGAGCTTTCATGAGGAGGTGAGTTTCACAGAGGGCATCCAGCACGCAACAGT